TGTTTTATGAATAAACACGATGTTTTGGAAATATTTATCAAAAGAAATTTATACTATGTTGCGAATTACAATTTCGAGATAACCTTCTTTTATTTACGAACTTATGTCTTTGATGCTGAAATTGACAACTTTATAAAAATACATTTTCACTGAAATTATGAAATCTGGGTGTCGGAAAGGTGTAAAATTATTCTTCGGAAAAGAAAAAAACAGTAGTTGAGCTAGATAAGAAATTATACGGGGGCAGGCTCCTATGGAGAATTAACATTACTGGAAACAGGCCCTTTGTCCTAGAGCATCTTTGGACAAAGGAGACTCAAGTTTGTAAAAATGGAGGGTGTGGTCCCTCTGGGGGCATAGGGGTGGGACCCAATAGGGGAAATAGAGGAATTGTTTTCTCCTACTATACAAGTGAAGGGATTTAAACCAAATGCAGTCTGAAGCATGCTTAGGGACAAAAGAATCAATTTTGTATAAACTGAGGTGTGAGGTCCCCCCTTCTTTGCGGCAGATGAATGGGGCCCATTAGGGGAAATAGAGGAAAACATTAAAGATTCTTCTCCTTCTGTACCGTTGAAGGGATTTTAACCAAACTTGTTCTAGAGAATCTTTGGGCAAAGGGAATTGAATATTTATAAATTGAAGATGATACATGTAATATTACAGGGGTTATTCATTGTACAAATCTATCTCCCATGGCCACCGTATGCTACTGTACACTGCTACCTAAGGTACACTGCAAAGGCATATGTTGCCATTATAAAAGGGTTTGATAATAAATTGAGGGAAACATATAAAGGAATTCTTCAGAAAAACACAAATAACGGTCCTTGAAATATCCTGGTGGTAAGTGAGGTGGCAAATAAAATGACAGGCACTATATCGTTGTTTTATTATACATGTGTTTCTATTGATAGTTGCAGTATTATAATAACATACATAGGCGAGCTATGCTGTTGTTCAAATGAATGACCTTGACCCACTTTCAAGGTCACAGGGGTCAAATGTCTTAAAATCTTTAAACAACTTCTCCTCAATAACAGAAAGACCCAGGGTACTGAAACTGGGCCTGTAGCATGCTGGGATGAAGGGCTACCAAGTTTGTTCAAATGAATGACCTTGACCAACTTTCAAGGTCACAGGGGTCAAATGTCGTAAAATCATCAAATGACTTCTCAATAACCAAAACCCCCAGGGTACTGAAATTGGGCCTGCAGCATGCTGAGATGAAGGGCTACCAAGTTTGTTCAAATGAATGACCTTGACCGCCCAAATAGTGGGAAAATAGGTAAATCTTTAAAAATCTTCTTCTCAACCAATAGAAGGACTTTGACCAAATTTGTCCTAGAGCATCTTTGGACAAAGGAGACTCAAGTTTGTATAAATGGAGGGTGTGGTCCCTCTGGGGGCATAGGGGTGGGACCCAATAGGGGAAATAGAGGAAAACATTAAAGATTCTTCTCCTTCTGTACCGTTGAAGGTATTTTAACCAAACTTGTTCTAGGGAATCTTTGGGCAAAGGGAATTGAATATTTATAAATGGAAGATGATACTTGTAATATTACAGGGGTTATTCATTGTACAAAATATCTCCCATGGCCACCGTATGCTACTGTACACTGCTACCTAAGGTACACTGCAAAGGCATATGTTGCCATTATAAAAGGGTTTAATAATAAATTGAGGGAAACATATAAAGGAATTCTTCAGAAAAACACAAATAACGGTCCTTTAAATATTCTGGTGGTAAGTGAGGTGGCAAATAAAATGACAGGCACTATATCGTTGTTTTATTATACATGTGTTTCTATTGATAGTTGCAGTATTATAATAACATACATAGGCGAGCTATGCTGTTTTCCAACAGCTCTTGTTATGCACGACACCAGTCAGGAGTATATATATACACCTGAGATAACGCACATAATAAGTTGTAACCCTATATATATATACTGAGGTAACATTACTGATACAAATACACATTTAATACAAATACAGGTAAACGTTATAAACGGTAATTGTCGCACACTCATTACATACATATCCATCTTGGCATGACACAGTTTTGATCACTTTTCTGGGACACAGTGCTTCCTTTCTTGCTGAATTGTGATGCTTTAATCATTTTCTTTTCCTGAGACAATAAATCCTACAATTTTATTGAATTTTCTTAGCAACCCCTCTCCAATCCAACTTTTTTCGCCCACTTTCACCGAAACGGGGGATATTAATTTGGGTTTGTCCTTCTATCTGTCTGTCTGTCTGTCACGCTTCGTTTCCGTGCAATAACAGTACAATAAATGTTAACCGATTTTCTTCAAACTTGGTCACAGGGTTAAATGCCTTTAGGGCTCAGTTAAGTTTTGATGACCACGTTCAGCGGACCCCATTTGGCAGAGTTTTTTATTCTTGATTCTGTTATTTTCTGGTAAAATGTATTTCAGTGGACTGTCAAAAACATAATCTTTGCCATTGTATACCAGTTTTTCTAAATTTTTCCTTTGACATAAGGAAATATCTTTGGGAATGCTGGGAGGTGGGGGAGAGAAATACAGAATATGTCACTGTTTGATTAATGTGAGATTAATGTTTGCAGAGAGGAACAATGGAGCTGAAGAAGTATCTGCATAATCGTATAGATGAACCTAAACCACCACCAATCAGCTCCCAGGGTCTGGAGTCTACAGAGGGTCAGTCAGGACTCATAGGGGGCACAGGTGATGGGGTCAGCGCCCATGACATGCACACTTCCAAATTATTGGACTACAGGTAAAACTGATATTAAGTGATCTTGGATTTGGCAGACCTTTAGAGATGAGGTTTACTCATCTGCTCAAGTCAGTAAAGCCACTAAAGGTATTACTAACCAGCCCAAGTGACTGTACACAAAAAAAAAAGATTAAAAAAAACAGATAGAGATCCTGGATTAACAGTAACGCAGACTAGTCCAAGTCACTAACAGTAACGCTGCCAACTTTCAAACTTGATAAAGGTAAAACTGACCAGGCCATTGAGTCACTTAAAGTTAACACTGGCCAGTCCAAGTCACTGAAGGTAACACCAACCAGTCCAGGTGACTGACCTTTCCAAATCAGTAAAGGTAACACTGACCAGTCCAACGCACTAAAGTTAACACTATCCATTCAAAGTCATTTAAGTAATGCTGACCAGTCCAGTCACTAAAGGTAACAGTGACCAGTCCAAGGCAGTAAAGGTAACACTGACCAGCCAAGTCACTGAAGGTAACACTGACCTGGGTCAATGTCACTGAAGGAAACTGTGAGTGACTGACCATTTCAGATCACAAAAGGATACACAGAGCAGTCCATTTCACTGAATGTTACACTGACCAGTCAAAGTCACTAACGGTAACACTGAATATTCAAAGATACTGAAGGTAACACTACCTGAACCAAGTCACTTAAAAAAGTTAACACAGACCAGAGTAGGTCATTTAAGGTAAATCTGACCAGTTCATGTCACTAAAAGAAACACTGAGCAGTCAAACTCACTATAATGTTAACACTATCCATTCAAAGTCACTTAAGTAATGCTTACCAGTCCAATTTACTAGATTAATAGTTACACAGACCAGTCCCAGTCAGTAAATGTAACATTGCCCAGTCCAACTCACTGACCAATCAAAGTCACTGAAGTCACTGAAGGTAACACTGACCAGTCGAAGTCACATAGGTCAGACTAACAAGTCCAAGTGACTTAAGGCAAAACTAACCAGTCCAAGTAACTGAAGGTACCTCTGACCAGTCCAAGTCAGTAAAAGTAACACTGACCAGTCAATATCAGTAAAGGTAACATTGACCAGTCCATGTCGGTAAAGGTAACACTGACCAGTCCAAGTCACTTAAGGCCAGACTAACCAGTCCAAGTCACTTAAGGTCAGACTGTAACCAGTCCAAATCACTTAGATTACTCAGGTCAGAATAACCAGCCCAAGTCGTTTAGGCCTGACTAACCAGCCCAATTCACTTAGGCCAGACTAACCAGTCCAAGTCACTTAGGTCAGACTTACCAGTCCAAGTCACTTAAGGTCAGACTAACCAGTCCAAGTCACTTAGGTCAGACTAACCAGCTCAATTCACTTATGCCAGACTAACCAGTCCAAGTCTCTTAGGTCAGACTTACCAGGCCAAGACACTTAGGTCAGACTAACCAGTCTAAGTCACTTAGGCCTGACTAACCAGTCCAAGTCACTAAGGTCAGACTTACCAGCTCAATTCACTTATGCCAGACTAACCAGTCCAAGTCACTTAGGTCAGACTTACCAGGCTAAGACACTTAGGTCAGACTAACCAGTCCAAGTCACTTAGGTCAGACTAACCAGCTCAATTTACTTATGCCAGACTAACCAGTCCAAGACACTTTGGTCAAACTAACCAGTCCAAGTCACTTAGGTCAGACTAACCAGCTCAATTCACTTATGCCAGACTAACCAGTCAAAGTCACTTAGGTCAGACTTGCCAGGTCAAGACACTTAGGTCAGACTAACAGGTCCAAGTCACTAAGGTCAGACTAACCAGCTCAATTCACTTATGCCAGACTAACTAGTCAAAGTCACTTAGGTCAGACTAACTTAAGTCAAAGTCACTTAGGTCAGACTTACCAGGCAAAGACACTTAGGTCAGACTAACCAGTCCAAATTACCAGTCCAATTCACTACAGGAAACACTTATCAGTCAAAGTCACTGAAGGCAACACTGACTAGTCCAAGTCACTAAAAGTTACATTGACCAGTCCAAGTCACTAAAAGTAACACTGACCAGTCCAAGTCACTAAAGGTAACACTAACCAGTCAAATTCACTACAGAAAACACTTATCAGTCCAAGTCACTGAAGATAACATTGACCAGTCCAAGTCACTAAAGGTAACACTGACCAGCCCAAAGTCACTAAAAGTAACACTGACCAGTCCAAAGTCACTAAAAGTAACACTGACCAGTTCAAGTCACTAAAGGTAATCTAACCAGTCAATTTCACTACAGAAAACACTTATCAGTCCAAGTCACTGAAGATAACATTGACCAGTCCAAGTCACTGAAGATAACATTGACCAGTCCAAGTCACTAAAAGTAACACTGACCAGTCCAAGTCACTAAAGGTAAACTAACCAGTCCAAGTTACTAAAGGTAACACTAACCAGTCAAATTTTCTACAGGAAACACTTATCAGTCCAAGTCACTGAAGATAACATTGACCAGTCCAAGTCACTGAAGATAACATTGACCGGTCCAAGTCACTAAAAGTAACACTGACCAGTCCATGTCACTAAAGAAAAAACCCTGACCAGTCCATGTCACTGAAGGAAACACTGACCATTCGAGATCACAATAGGATACACAGAGCAGTGCAACTCCTTAAAGAAAACACTGACCAATCCAAGGCCTTAAGGGAAACAATGAGCAGTCCATGTCACTGAAGGTTAAATTTACCAGTTTAAGTCACTAAAGGTAACACTGACAATTCAAAGACACTGAAAATAACACTGACCCATTCAAATCACTAATGGTAACTCTAACCAGTCCAAGTCACTGAAGATAACACTCACCAATGCAAGTCATTGAAGGTAATACTGACCAATCATAGTCACTGAAGGTAACACTGACCAGTCAAAGTCAGTAAATGTAACACTAACCATTCCAACTCACTTAAGGTAACAGTGACCAGTCAAAGTTACTGAAGGCACCACTGATCAGTCCAACACACTAAAGGTAACAGTGACCAGTCCAAGTCACTGAAGGTAACATTGACCAGACAAAGTTATTGAAGGTACCACTGATCAGTCCAACTCACTAAAGGTAACAGTGACCAGTCCAAGTCACTGAAGGTAACACTGACCAGTCCAACTCACTTCATGTAACACTAAACCACTCAACGTCACTGAAGGTAACACTGACCAGTCTTAGTCAGTTATGGTAATTCTAACCAGTCAAAGTCAGTAAATGTAACACTAACCAGTCCAAGTCACTGAAGGTAACACTGACAAGTCCAAGTCAGTAAGGATAAAACTTACTGGTCCATGTAACTAAAGTAAACACTTAGCAGTTCAAGTCAGTAAAGGAAACATTGACCATCAAATTCGTTAAAGGTAACACTGACCAGTCAATGTCCCTAAAGGTAACACTGACCAGTCAAAATCACTGAAGGATATACTGGCCAGTCCAAGTCACTGAAGGTAACACTGACCAGTCCAACTTACTGAAGGTAACACTGACCAGTCTGGTTCAGTAAGGATACAACTGACCAGTCCATGTCACTAAAGGAAACACTCAACAGTCCTATTCAGTAAAGGAAACATTGACCAGTCAAAGTCAATGAAGGTAACACTGACAAGCCAATTCACTGAAGGTATCACTGACCAGTCCATGTCACTAAAGAAAAAACCCTGACCAGTCCATGTCACTGAAGGAAACACTGACCATTCAAGATCACAATAGGATACACAGAGCAGTGCAACTCCTTAAAGAAAACACTGACCAATCCAAGGCATTAAGGGAAACATTGAGCAGTCCATGTCACTGGAGGTTAAATTTACCAGTTTAAGTCACTGAAGGTAACACTGACAAGTCCAAGTCAGTAAGGATAAAACTTACTGGTCCATGTAACTAAAGTAAACACTTAGCAGTTCAAGTCAGTAAAGGAAACATTGACCATCAAATTCGTTAAAGGTAACACTGACCAGCCAATGTCCCTAAAGGTAACACTGACCAGTCAAAATCACTGAAGGATATACTGGCCAGTCCAAGTCACTGAAGGTAACACTGACCAGTCCATGTCACTAAAGAAAAAACCCTGACCAGTCCATGTCACTGAAGGAAACACTGACCATTCGAGATCACAATAGGATACACAGAGCAGTGCAACTCCTTAAAGAAAACACTGACCAATCCAAGGCATTAAGGGAAACAATGAGCAGTCCATGTCACTGGAGGTTAAATTTACCAGTTTAAGTCACTAAAGGTAACACTGACAATTCAAAGACACTGAAAATAACACTGACCAATTCAAATCACTAAAGGTAACTCTAACCAGTCCAAGTCACTGAAGATAACACTCACCAATGCAAGTCATTGAAGGTAATACTGACCAATCATAGTCACTGAAGGTAACACTGACCAGTCAAAGTCAGTAAATGTAACACTAACCATTCCAACTCACTTAAGGTAACAGTGACCAGTCAAAGTTACTGAAGGCACCACTGATCAGTCCAACACACTAAAGGTAACAGTGACCAGTCCAAGTCACTGAAGGTAACATTGACCAGACAAAGTTATTGAAGGTACCACTGATCAGTCCAACTCACTAAAGGTAACAGTGACCAGTCCAAGTCACTGAAGGTAACACTGACCAGTCCAACTCACTTCATGTAACACTAACCAGTCAAAGTCACTGAAGGTAACACTGACCAGTCTAAGTCAGTTATGGTAACTCTAACCAGTCAAAGTCAGTAAATGTAACACTAACCAGTCAAAGTCACTGAAGGTAACACTGACAAGTTCAAGTCAGTAAGGATAAAACTGACTAGTCCATGTAACTAAAGTAAACACTTAGCAGTTCAAGTCAGTAAAGGAAACATTGACCAGTCAAATTCGCTAAAGGTAACACTGACCAATCAAAGTCACTGAAGGTAGCACTGACCATTCCAACTCACTTAAGGTAGCACTGACCAGTCCAAGTCACTGAAGGTAACACTGACCAGTCCAACTCACTTCATGTAACACTAAACCAGTCAACGTCACTGAAGGTAACACTGA